TACCAGTCCATTTCTAGCTCACTGATACCTAAGATATTGATGTTTATGCATTCCATTTCATTTTTGACAACTTCCAATTTTCCCAGTTTCATATTTTGTACATTCCATGGTCTGATTTTCAAAGGATGTTTACAGCTGTTTCTCTTCATTTTGAGTTGTGCCCCTTCAGCAAATGAAGGTCCCATGGGCTTTTCTCCCACAGGCTTTACTCCATTTGTGTTATCACAGTCAACTCTACTTTGAGGAGGCAGCTCTTCCCCTGTCACATTTTGAGAGCCTTCCAATGTGAGGGGCTCATTTTCCGGCACTATATCTGACAGTGTTTCTCTGTTATTCATAAGGTTTTCAGTGACTAAATATTCGGAATTAGTTTGTCACTTTTTCTTCCTAGTTTGTCATTGTCTGGAGACTCATCTGAAACCTGTCCACCATGGTTGACCCTGCTGGTATTGAGAATACCAGTGGCATAACTTTCAGAATCATAGAAACTCACAAGCCACCACAGCATGACAAACTGACAGTTTGGTTTTAAGTGGAAACTATCACTTTAAATTTCAAGGAGATCTCTGCACATGTGTAGTAGAACCCTCCAGTGGTGGAGGTAGGGTGTCCATTCACTCAAGCATCCCCTCTAGTACCAGAATGGACGTGTGCAGACAGTGAGAGATGAATGAACTGATACCAAAAAAGAATGTCCACACCTATCTCTGCAGTTCTGTCAGGCATTCATGGCTGTTCTGATCCTTTCCCAGCTTGGTCTCTCCCAAGATGGCAGCTCCAGGAGTAGCTGAGAGTTTTGAGTTAGAAAGCAATGGATTTCTTATTTCTGCTACAAATTCCCCTAGCTATAAGCCTTCCAAGCTTTTTAATATTTCTTTATATGTGGTTCAGAGTTCTAGCAACATCCCCTGAGCCTGCTTGCTCTGATATTCTGTATTGTTGGTGATGGAGCTCCTCACTACACGTCTACCCGATCCGCCATCTTAGGGTGCAGCAGCTATTAAAGGATCATTTGTTCAATGGTTAAAATCCTACTTATTCACTGCCCAACTTTCACAGGCATTGAATCTATTGAAAATACCATGGTTTGGATCAGGCATACACACCTTAGTCCTCAAACTGACATCTTTATACTTATGGATGTACTAACTCAAAAAATGGAACAAATCTTTACAGTGAGGATCACTCCCACCACTTCGCAACACAGTATTGACAGAGATGGGAAAGTTAGACATTGGCCACCCAAAATTGGGCAGGGGTCTATAAAGGCAAGAAGTGACTGACTTACAAGCTTTAAAGAGGGAGCCTTGTTCCAGATGGGGCAGGGTAAAATAGAACCTCCACTGAATTATTTCCAATTTTGGGTCCGGGCTGGAGAAATGAAATGGGGATAAGACTCTTGTGATACAATAGTGAATAATTGCCATCAGGACTGACTGTGAGGGTAAGAAATTTAGAGGTAGATGTTTTTTGACAAAAGAAGGGGAGTGATTGATTTTGCAGTCCAGGAGTGAGGGTCCCTGGGACCATCAAGTGAAAAGAATGGAGAGTGGGACCCCACCCAGAGAGGCTGAGATGCCAAGGATGGATACAGATTCATTGACATGGACAGATGGAGTGGCTGGGGACACTGAATTCAGGGAAGAAGAAGGGCTGTGTGCTGACAACCAAAGGGTGAGCCTGTGGAGTGTACACTTTGGTTATTAATGATGCATGGAGGGGATTGTAATCATGAAATGTAATCATGAAATGAAATATGATAGGATGAATGTAAAACTGATATTCTTCCATGTGAACCTCACAATAAAAACTTATTAAAAAAATAATAATAAGAAGAAAGAAAATATCAAAATGGATGTGAGAAGAGACTCTGAAACATGGTTTCCAGCATAGAGATGCTAAAACAAATGTAAGGAATAAGGAGGTATAAGAGCTGAACAGGAAATTTCAAAGGTCAGTTCGAGAAGACAACGTCAAATATTATAGCAAAATGTGCCAAGATCTGGAATCAGAAAACCAAAAAGAAGAACATGCTCAGCATTTATCAAGCTGGAAGAATAAGAAAAAAAATCAAGCCTCGACTTACATTATTGAAAGATTCTCTGGGTAACTTATTGAATGATGCAGAAAGCATCAAAAGAAGATGGAAGGAATACACAGAGTCACTGTACCAAAAGGAAATGGTTCATGTTCAACCATTTAAAAAGGTTTCATATGAACAAGAGTCAATGATAACTGAAGGAAGCACTCCAAGGTACATTGAAGGAATTGCAAAGAATAAGGTACCAGGAATTAATGGAATACACATTGAAATCTTTCAAGAAAGTGAGGCGGCACTGGAGACACTCATCTCTGCCAAGAAATTTAGAAGACAACTCTCTGGCTGACTGATAGGATGAGATCCGTGCCCATTCCAAAGAGAGGTGACCCAACAGAATGTGGGCATCATCGCACAATACGTTTGCTATCCCATGCGAGTAAAGCTTTACTAAAGGTAATACAGAAATGGCTACAATCATACATTCACAGAGAACTTCCAGAGGTTCAAGTTGGATTCAGAAGAGGCTGTGGAATGAGGGATATCATTGCTGATATCTTGGCTGAAAGCAGAGGATTCCAGAAAGATGTTTACCTGTGCTTCAATGACTATGCAAAGGCTTTCTAATGTGTGAATAATGACAAGTTATGGACAACATTGCGACGTATGAGTATTCCTGAACACTTATTTGTGCTTATGAAGAATCCGTACACGGATCAAGAGGCAATTGTCCAAGAGGACACTGAATGGTTTAAAATTAAGGAAGGTGTGCCATAGAGTTGTTTTCTTTTACTATTATTATTCAACCTATGTGCTGTGCAAATAATCTAAGAAGCTGGGTTCTATGAAGGAAAATGTGGCATCAGTAGTGGAGGAAGACTCATTAACAACCTGCGATATGCAGATGATACAACCTTGCTTGATGAAAGTGAAGAGGACTTAAAGTATTTACTGATGAAGATCAAAGTATGGATTGCATCTCAATGTAAAGAAAACAAAAATCCTCACCACTGGACCAACAAACAACATTCTTATCAATGGAGAAAAGATTGAAGTTGTCAAGGACTTCATTCTTTTTGTATCAACTATCAACACTCATGGAAGCAGCATTTAAGAAATCAGATGCCGTATTGCAATAGGCCAATCTGCTGCACAAGACCTTTTTAAAGTGTTGAAGAGCAAAGATGTCAGGTTGAGGACTAAGGTGTACCTGACCAAACCCATGATATTTTAAATAACCTCATATGCATGTGAATGCTGGAAAGTGAATAAGGAAGACTGTAGAAGAATTGATGCTTTTGAGTTATGATGTTAGAGGAGAATATTGAAAGAGCCATGGGTTGCCAAAAGAACCAACGGATCTGTGTTGGAAGAAGCCAGAGTGCTTCTTGGAGGCCAGGATGGCCAAACTTAATCTCTCATACTTCGGACATGATGTCAAGAGGGACAAGTCGCTGGAGAAGGATAGCATGTTTAGTAAATTGGAGGGTCAGAGAAAAAGAAGAAGTCCCCCAGTGAGACGGATTGGCAAAGTGGCAGCATCAATGGGCTGAAGCATGGGAACAATTGTGAGGGTGGCCCAGGATTGGGCAGTGTTTCGTTCTGTTGTGCACAGGGTCACGATGTGTTGGTACCAACTCTATGGCACCTAACAACAACAACAGACCAAATGGCAGTCATTCAAACATAAAAATGAGTTACTGAATTGTTCAAAATCAAGAAAGGTGTGCATCAGGGTTAGATGTTTCGCTATACTTATTTAGTGAATATGCTGAGCAAATAATCTGAGAAATTTGATCATATAAAAAAAGAATAAGTCATCAATATTGATGAAGATTTATTAACAACCTGTGAGATGCAGATGATACAAACTTGCTTGCTGAAAGCAAAGAAGACACAAATACTGATGAAGATGAAAGACCAAAGCCTTCAGTATGGAGTGCACCTCAATGTAAAGAAAACACAAATCCTCACAATGAATTACAAAAAGATAATGGAGAAAATATTGAAGCTGTTAAATATTTTGATTTGCTTGATCCACAATCAATGCTCATGGAAGCAGTAGTCAAGAAATCAAATGACGTATTGATTTAGGCAAATCTGATGGGCAAGATCTCTTTAAATTTTTCTAGAGGAAAGATGTCAGTATGAGTACTAAGATTCACCTGACCCATGACATGGTATTTTAAATGTCTTTTATGTATGTGAAATTTGAAAAATGAATAATGAAGATGATAGAAGGATTGTTGCATTTGAATAATGGCATTGGCAAAGAATATTGAAAGTGCCATGGATTGCCAGAAGAACAGACAAAATTTACTTAGATGAAGAGCACCCAGAATGGTCTTTAGAAGCAAGGATGGTGAGATATTACCAGGAATAACCAGTCCCTGGAAAAGGACATTAAGCTTTGAAAAGTGGAGGGTCAGTGAAAAAAAGGAAGACCCCCAACAAGATCCATTGTCACACTGACAGCAACAATGGGCTCAAACAGAACAGCAATTGTGAGGATGGTATAGGACCGGGCAGTGTTTAATCTGTTGTACTTAGGGTCACTATGAGTTAATACAGACTTGTGAGCACCTGCCAACAACAAAATCATCTTCCTAGCCCAGGATTCTAAAGTTCTCAGCCTTATCACAGAGCCCTTTATCACAAGAACCTTTAGAGGCTTAAATGGTCTTCTTCATTGAGATAAAGAAAATTTACCCAAACCTGGCTTTTCCTTTCTGGCTTGGAGAAGCACATAGTAGGTGCTTAAAAATATATTTAGTGGATATAAATATGACATTAAAAAGTTGAGTTAAAGTGGTTTTGGGAAGAAGGTGTGGAGTACAGAGTCTCTGTTTCCTGATAACTGGTAGCCCACAACAGTACAAAATTTACTGAAATGAACATTTACATTGATTTATGGATGACAATAATCTAATGATGTTTTTCCATGTGTTTACCCATTTAGAAGAAGTAGTATACGGAGTGGCTTCAATATAAAAGGTATGGGTCTAGGTAAAGAGTATACAACAGAGGACTAATAGATAGTCTCAGTCCTAAATATTTTACTACTTATTAGATAAATAACCTAAAGTGAGAGAATAAATAAATTCATATAATTTATAATTTTAAGTCATAAAACGAAATGACTAGGTTTCTGTTTGCTAAAGTAAGACAGAATACTTATGACTCCACAAAAATCTTTATGTTATTTGATATCCTCTTTTTTCTCATCTATTTACATAATCTTCCACTTATTTTGCTTATGCCCCAAATACCTATCACTTAGTTCTACACTTAGTAAATAAATTTAAAATATGATAATAAATACCTATTAGGAACAACAAATGATAAACATTTGCTGAGTACTCTTTCTGTATCAGTTAGGGTACAATGGCTCCAACTCTGTGCCACGTTGTGCTAAGAGCTTCATAGACTAAAAGCTGACATTTACCGATTATTTATTATGTGTCAGTGATTTTCATGCAGTATGTATTCATTGAATCTTTACAAAGTCTCTGTGAAGCATTGCTATTATTTGATAGGCAAAACAACTTTTCTACCACTGCTATCCATTTGTCAGTTTGTCATACTTTTGTGGCTTATGTGTTGCTATGATGCTAGAAGCTCTGTCACTGGTGCTTCAAATACCAACAGGGTTCCTTGTGGTTGTGAAGCTTTCAGACTAAGAGTCTACTGAGAAAGGCCCTATGCCTCACCATCAGAGCTTGTTTTCTTTGGACATTTTAGAAGGAAAGTTTGATCTCTGGATGCAGACATGCTGTCTGATGAAGTAGAGGACCAATCAGGGAATGGCAGACCTCTGGTCAGATGGATTGGTGCAAGAGTAGCAGTGAGATACATAATGGTAGTACTCAGAAGAATAATTGCAGGCCTGGCCAATAGTTCTGTACATAAAATTGCTTCAAATTGAAGTCAACCCTGTGTTAGCTATCTATACAATTTTTGCAAGTTCATAAGACTGACAAGTATCTGGACTCATATATGATCTTAGATGATATCACTCCATGGTCAGCACTAAGAACCATACGCTAGTGGATTCATGCTATCAAAATGTGAAACATGCATTAGAACATATCAGGAAAATATTCTTTTGTGAAGGTTTTATTTTTCATTTGTAAATACACACATATAGACACAGAATATGAATGTTTACCCTGTGTCAAGATATAAGATTCATTTTTTATTTGTATCATGGTCAAAAGAATTTGAAAAACAGTACCACTAAACCATAGACATCTATAGCACATTTCCTTACTGGAATTCACTCTCAATTCTAGAGGTGCTTAACTTAAAATAGATTTTCAGGTGAAAAGAATACAACTTGAAAAGTGGGTGACCTTCATGAGCTTTTGGTGTCAAAGTCACCAGAGTTCACCTTCCAAGCCTGTAGTCTACAATGTTGGGGCTTCTTGACAAATCTCTTAATGTCTTTGAGCCTATGTTTCCCCTCTAGAAAAGGGCTATGATGAGATTTATTTTTGGATGCGATTGTTAAGATAAGGAGCTCTGGTAGCGTAGTGGTTACGAATCAGGCTGTGAACCTTAAGGTCAGCGGTTCGAAACTACCAGCTGCTCCGCGGGAGAAAGATGAGGCTTTCTACTCCCGTAAAGATTTACAC